TTTTTTTTTTTTTGATTACATCTTCAATTTAACCAGCATTGTAGCAGTAATTGGCCAAGAGAAAGTAAAGGATTTGGCCTCCTTAAAATTGACATGCTAATAGAAATATTGCAGGGGTCAGCTTGTCCTACTGAAAATAAAGCGAGTGTATTGCCTGAGCTCACTCTTCTTGTTTAGAATTGTCTTATTTAAAACCAACACAATCTAGCCTGAGGTGGAGGGGAACATGTTCAGTTATTTCTAAAGGCTATGGTTGTGTTAATCTCATAAGTCTATAGTACAGGAGCATTGTTTAAGGCTGTGTAGTTAATGCTGTACTGAAATCTGAGTTTGATATTTTAATTGATAATGGTGTCAAGGTTGTTTTCCTTATGCCCCCCCTTAATAAGCTGTGTAGACTGTTATAGTTTGTTTCAGTCTGCATCTTAGGTTTGAATTCTTCTTTAAATACTAGAACATGAGATAGAAGCAAACTAGTCTTTTTTTTTTTTTTTTTTTTTTTTTTTTTTTCCCTGTGTCACCGTCCTGGAGGGTATCCTGGTGCTTTACTGTGCAATCCATGCTTGGTTTGGAGAGAAATAAATCCCTCCTCCCTTAAAATGTGTTAAACTGCAAGTGGAATTGCATTAAAAGAATTCGTAAGACAGTGAATTAATTGGAGTATGTATATGTTCTGTTTATAATGAAGGACACCTTAAGAATGAAGTAGTATTTGTGTTACCAAATGCAGGTCTGAAAGTTGAGGTGTGGAACAACTTTCTGTAAAACCTGATGCAAGCTGGTTGGTTGTATAGTACTTGCTTTCCTTGTTCTTACCTGTCAGAACCATTAGGAAAAGAAGATTAGATGAAGACTTGGACAACATAATTTTCCTTCTCAAATACAATATGGAAAGCTAAAAATAGAAAGTATTCTCCCATTTGTCTCAGAGTCAGTTTAGTTTCCATAGGAATGTTAAGCAGTGATCATAGGAGCTCATGAGGCAATTTCTCCTGATTAAACAATCAAACTGGAAAACTCTGTTGTAAAAGGTGACTATTCCCCCCCCTTCTTCCCTTACCTGCCCCTGTCAGTGTACGTACACACGCGTGTGCACACACGCTTAACTTGCTGGGTAGGCCACCTCCTTCATTTGTGCGGTACAGGCTTCCTTTGTTTCCAGTTGCCCACTGACAATGAGGAATCTTCCCATTGATTCACTTTTTTGACACTTAACATTTAGTGCTGTACGACTGTTTTTTCCTTGCTTAGTGAGAATGCTAATTTGAAGTAGTCCTACGTACCTACACTACGTGTTTTTTTCATATTGTACTAATTTGTTAATTCCGTACTCAAGACAGATACGATGGTCTAGACTGAACATGACCCATAAACGTACTCTTACAAGCTGATTTGAAATCTCCAGTTTTAGATGGGATTGCTGCTGTTTTTGAAGATGGCAGACTCTAATGCTCCTTTTCACACACACAAAAAATGTGAGGAATAAATGGATTCGAAAAGTGCAACAACTATTATGTGAAATAGAAGTGGCAAATCTTCTGTGCCATGAAGATATGCCATGACAGCGGGTTCATCTGGGAAGTCTGAATAACATAATGGGGCTGTGGGAGAGAAGTGAAATGACTCAAGAATTGTTAAGCCAAAGCCAAAATGTCAGTGAAGAAGTTTTTGCTCAGGAAAAAAAAAACCAAATTCAGTGTTGAATTCAAGGTTTATTTGTATAGTTTTGCTTTCATTTAAATAAAATTAAATGTTGCTTTTTTCTCTGTTCTCAAAGGCAGGAGTATACATTTTTGCCCAGCTCTTAAATTAGTGATGTCACTAATGATAAAGTTCAAGCTTTAAATTTATTCACTTGAACAAACAAAACTATCTTCAGCAAAAATAAGAAGTGGTAAGGGTGTCTAAGGCTCACTTCTCACTTGTGGGTTGGTTTTTGGTTTTTTTTTTTCACTATGAGGGTGCCTGAGCACTGGCACGGGTTGCCTGGGGTGGTTGTGGAGTCTCCATCCTTGGAGGTACTCAAAAGCTGCCTGGACGTGGTCCTGGGCAGCTGGCTGTAGGTGGCCCAGCTTGAGCAGGGGGTTGGAGACCAGATGTCCTCCAGAGGTCCCTGCCAACCTCAGCCAGTCTGTGATTCTCCAGAAGTTTTCTCTCTGTGTGTGCATGTAGGGGGAAATTCTGTACCTTTCATTCCTTACAAAGAACAGCTGTTTGCCAGGTACACTAATGTAAGTATGAATTAATGTGCCTGGAACATTAGTGTTTTAATAGGGCACAGTCTTATGGGTGCCTAATTGAGATTAAGTATTTACCTATATGCTTTAAGCATCTTAATTTTTTTTTTTTTATACTGGACTGTTACCAGGTATTCATTAGTGCCTATGACAGAATGTTTCTATCTAGTCACTTCACTGAAGTTCTTCAAAATACTGCTACTTTAAATGATCATCTGTGTGTAGATCCTATTGCATGCACATGCTGCCCTTGGAGTGAACTGTCAGTCCTGCTTTTCAATACATACACGAGACTGCAGTATTGTTGATCTGTCAATCTGTCACTTAGGTGCAGAGAGAGGTGTAAGCAGGTAGAGCAGAAGGAGATTGATCCAATTTTCTGAGAATCAAAGGTTATTCAAAGTAGCACAGAGAGCAAAAAATGGGGAGGGCTCATTAGGCAGCTAACTGGCTTCTTCTAGAGTTGTGCCAATGGTACTTCTGACCAAAAGCAATGGTTACCTCCAAGTACTTGCTGTGGTGTTCTCTTTTTTTTTTTTTTTTTTTTGAGAATGAGTGTTATTTGTATTGTCCTAATCTTACCCGGCTTCAGAGAACATTTGCAGTAAATATGGAAAAAAATCTTTTTACAGTTGACTGTCTCCATCACGGTGTATTTCTTGTTTATCTGTTTTGACATTTGGGCTACATCATCCAAGGGAGGAGAGTTTGGTGTTCGGGTCTCCATGTAAAATGAAATATTTTCCAGGCTTGTCCTGAAGAATCTGTTGCTGCAAACTTGAAGTTGGAGAGGCTGAGATTTGTGCATGGCTCTCATAGTAGGGAAGTAAGGAATCCACTTTCTGTGGCTAAGGCTTTCAGAAACCCAGAAGGTAGCTTTGTATTTTCCTCTGCCTAGGAGAGGAAAGGAGTCTTCAAGGTTTTTGGAAAGCTTAAAGCAGATCTCTGTGCATGCATCCTTGAATGTTATGGGTTTTCTTCTAATCCTGTGACTTTCTTCTGTTGGGAAGTGAAGGCTCTATATCAGTGCTCAGCACTTAGACTGTAATCTGTTTCCTGGTAATTTATGGCTCAAGTCCAAACTTGAATATTAAACATGTGGCTACTTAGTCTTCAAACGCAGGATTAGATGCACACCTTCAAAATAACTCATGGAAGACTAAAAACTCGTTTCTGAGCACTACAAAAATAACATTTTAATAGCTTTCAACAACCTCAAAGCCACTTTTATTATACACAAAATACATTCTAGGAGTAAAAACATATCCTATCCATACTACCTTTAATTTGAAATTTGGTATTGGAGACCCCTTATGGAGTTGGTCTTAATCTGTCCACTTAAGCCTTAAGGGGAATTTTGTGAACGTCTCTTTTTGTCTGGTTTTTCTTCGTGCTCCCTTAGCTGTTCTGCAGAGAACTGATGGCAGAGAGGAATCGGTGTGCTAGAAGAGATTGATGCTCATACTTAGGATGCCTGAGGTCCTCATTCATGGTTGGATGCAGTGGTTATGTAGGGAGCATAATTTTCAGGGTCATCTGTCATGTACAGATTACCCTCTTGTGTTAAGCAATGAGGGAAGAGGTGATAAAAATAGACAATGAAGTAAAACAAACTTTCTGCTTTTAACTATAAAGTAGACTTTTCAGTGGAGTATGCCCAAGTTGGGGTGAACCTGTGTGAGAAACAAGAGATTGGGTGTGCTTGTGGAGATGTATACTGGCAAATGAAGAAAAAAAAAAAGTAAAATTGAAAATTGTTACATAAGCAGCACTCTGATGGTCCCTTAATGGCTGAAGAACATGTCCCAGTGGTAAAATTGTTACATAAGCAGCACTCTGGTCCCTTAATGGCTGAAGAACATGTCCCAGTGGCTCTATTGCTTGAAATCAGTAAAACTAGTGTTAAAAACACCATTTAAAAAAAAAACAAACCACAACCCCACAGCATGATTTTGTGTATTGTTTGGTGTATATTTACACTTGCAAATCTAGCACTCAGCGATGAGAGTGGTGTTACATTTTTAAACTCAAGAGCAAATGCTATGATGTGAGCTTGTAGCCCTGTGGTTTGCGTGTGTTGTGAGCGAGGTGTACGTGTTCCATTCGGCACGGAGCGTGCGAAGGTGGGAGGCGATGGATGCGGCCGCTGGCAGGAGCAGAGCGTGGGCAGGCTCAGAGCGAGCAGTTACTCCAACCATACGCTTGAGGGCTCTGAAGACTGCGAGGAATGGTGCAGAAGCAATTGCAGTTGAAGAATGTATTTTAACTAAATTAGTGCATTGTACCTGCGCAGGGTTTAATGCTTGCTGGGCCATTTGGCTATTTGCCATAATTGGCTTTCCATTCCCTTGATTGGAATCATAGATAAAAATTTGCTAATCCACTTTCTTTGCTGAAAGTATTAGAAAAGTAATCCATCTTTTAAAAATGCTTGAACAAAATCATATGGTATAAAGAATACTTTATGGAATAATGAGATTAATGAGAACTATAAGGCATACACAATTAAAACGTTTTTCTATGGTTTTAAGGGGGAATAACGCAATCTGGGCACTATAAAGCCATAAGTACTTCCTTTTATTATGCACTGCCTTTTAAATGTGCATTACATGCTATGCTTTTTGTCTACATGATAAAATGTGAGTATATATTTAGGAAGAAGGAACTGCTATTTATTTGGGTTTTTTTTTCTTATGTTTGAAAATATCGAACTCAAACTTCTTGGCTGTGTTCTTTCCTCCCTCTCCCCTCTTCTGCCCACAGGGCATCAGAGCACGCATTTTGGAAACCCTTGTAATGCTTATTCTTCTTGCACTGCTTATCCTTGGAATCGTATGGGTGGCTTCAGCACTCATAGACAATGATGCTGCCAGTATGGAGTCTTTGTATGGTATGGAATTAAAAAAACCCCACACTAGTTTCATTTTAATTATGGAAATGGATGTTTGCAATTAAATGTATTTCTGGTAAATGCTATGTGAGTATTGCACAGATTTTGAAGAAGCTGTATTAGTCAATACCATTTTTTGTTAGATGAGGTTCCATGCTCATGTGGACACGAGCTATGTTAAAAACAATTGACTTAAGTGATAAAAGCTGAAGATATTTTTCAAGCTAAAGTACTTGGGGATTTAGTTGCCTGCAGGATCATTAACTGACTAATTCTTAGTTTATACTTGAAAATACAATTGTTCAATCCTGAATGCTTAAGGAAAGTTAATTCAGTTGCGTTTGTGACAGACGTAGCCTATTTCGAATAAGCTAAGACTGTGGTCAATATTTTCCTTACAGACCTCTGGGAATTCTACCTCCCGTATTTATATTCCTGTATATCACTGATGGGATGTTTGCTACTTCTGTGTAAGTATTTTCCTGATTATTCCAAGAGATGAATGATTTTATTTATTTATTTTTTAAAGATTAAAGGAAACTGGTTTTCATTGTAAAAATTAAGATTGTGAAAGGTAAAAGTGTGAAAAATGGGGGGGCTTGGTGGTTTTTTTTCATTCTTAAGTTTAAATTTATTTGTAAATTTGTTAGGTTTAGGTTCTGAAGTTTGTCAACAAATGCTACCTTACACTTTCAGGTTTTGAGGAACTTCATACCTCACCCAAAATAATTTCAATTTTTAGCTTTTTAAAGCAGATATTTGAAAAATAGGGACTCCATTCTGGAAAGAAAAGGCCAATTTTAAATATCTGCAGGAGGTCAGCAGTATGGAGAGAAAGTTATTCTGGAACACTTAGTTTGTCCTATATTCAGCAAATGATACTGCTTCATTTTTTAATTGAAAATCTTCCCGTATAGACAGAAGTTGGAGCACAGTGCAATTAGCTTTCATAATCACAAAACTGGTATCTGGCCAGTCTGGAGGTCAGTTATACGATTACATATAAAACAAATATGTAAAAAACCGCCCAACCTTATGCCAACCAGTCCTAGCCAGAGTTCAGTTATCCATGTTTAGGGGAATAAGAAAGATGATGGGAAGTCTCCCAGTCCCACTTACAATTTCAACACACGCACACTCTCCCTCCCCAGATAATTTCTAGAAAATTGCTGGGAGGGGGACAGAACGTCTCCCTTTTTAGATTATCCTGGTTTCACCCAGTCTCCTGGCTTTATAGGTTTACAGCTAACACAGGGCTGTCACTGTAGAGAGGGTGGGGAATGATAGTTTGAAACTTCCTTAAAATGAAGCAGACCTGAAAGGTGTTGTTCAGAGACCTTAGTGAACCTTCTCTAGGTTCTCGATATGGAAAGACTCTTAAATCCACGTTAATGGTGGGAGGGGGGGAAGTTAAAAAAAAAAAAGTGGTTCTGTATATCTCATGCTGGCTGTTGCAGAGTGTGATTCACAACAGTTGCTGAATGTTTTCATGGGGAAGCTGGCTTACAAACTTCCTACATCTGTCTTGCAGTTTGTTGCAGCAGAGCTGACAACACAGGGTGTGTTCTGGGGCTATTGTGAACCAGTTTGCCAAAATAATTGGGATTTAATGCCAATTTCTGGAAGAGTTATTTGTAGTTTATACAAGCAAATCGCTGAAGTTACTTAAGGCCTTCCAAGCTGTTGTATCTGAGTAGCTGAAAGGGCAGCATACAGCAGAGGGAAGGTGGTAGATGCTGGGGTAGAGCTCCATTCAGTCTTCAGCTGGCTTAATTGCTGCAGCAGCCTATGGGTAAGGCTTATTGCAGTGGTGATTTGGAGCATCAATTCCTTTCTCTTTGCTCCTTTTCCTGCAGGCTTCCTCTATAGTAAAGGAAGACTAGCTAAAGTTAGCCTTTTTGAACACTCTTGTATTTTTCCTGTAATCCGTAATAGTCGTAGTGAAACAGTAGTTAATAAAAACAAATGTAATCCTCACTATAAAATCTTGTGTGACGCTTTTTTTTTGACAACCCTGTTTTATTGTAATGTAAACTATAAATGTATATCCTCATCCATGCTGTTACAAATTCCTTCCATCCCCTCCACGCTTCAGTATTTGAAGGCTGTTCTCCCTCAGCTATTGATCTTTACTAATAATTTTCTATTATCATGGTTTGATCCTTTCTCCCAACAAACACGTGTGCCCTACCGGGAAGCCATCACAGGCAATGATCAAAAAGGGCCAATTGTTATTTCATGGAAAGGTGGCTTAAAGTCTGGTAGCTGAGCCTACTATCAACTGAAATGGCAGTATAACTTTCAGAGCAAAGCAGCTTCATGGTCTCTTGACCTTACAGCTGCACCTGTACTAATAGATGAAATGTGCTTGAGATGTTCCCCAGTGCTGTGGCCAGCTAGTGTTGCTCCATCCATCATATTGCAGTTTGCAGAAGGTGGCTGTGTACGTAGGATAATGGTTCCTGGACTGCAGGAACTCCAGAACTGCACCTGGGAATTGTTTGGGAAAGAGCTAACTGGCCCAGGGCAAATAATGCCAGGGATGGTTCTAGCAATTTACTGGTGTAGACGTTCAAGTCTTAATGCCCAGGAATGTATCCTGGCACTGTTGAATTTACTACTGTAGACATAGCCTCTGGTGCCACATGCTTTGAATAAATAATTACTTGAGCAAGTTTAAGATATCTGATTATATGGTGTTCCTTGTTGACAAAAAATCAGTTATGCTCTTGGAGGGGAGAGATGCTTGTCTTGTTCAGAGTTCATATGGTAGCAGCGTGTTTTAAAGTTCGTATTGGAGTTTGAAGCTCTTGCAGTTCTCTTGAAAACCTCACTTGGGTGTATGTGGAATAGCACATTGAACATCCAAATAAAAATTGGTCTTTGACTTACAAATCACTGTTTTGCATAACCTTTCTTTCTCTGCAGTATGCACGCCAGTGGGACTTTCACGGATGTTTACAGTAATGGGTCAGTTGCTGGTGAAGCCAACAGTAAGTGTTACACAAATCTGCCCTTGGCATTGGAGTACTTGCTCTTAGAATAGTTGCACTTCTACATAATTCTTTCTTCGGTTCATCAGCATCTCTATAGTCAATATTTGTGTACTTGTTTACAATTTTTTGTATAGCACAAAAGCTCTTTTTTTTTTTTCCACCACAGAAGGTTTTTTAAAGTAGTTTAGACTTCCTCTGATTTCTCCAATTTATATAACTCTACTAGTATTAATATTTATTGCCAGTATTGCCTACTATGGCTGTTTTCAGGCATTTGCAAAAGGGTGGGCTTGTTCTGGGTTCAGGTCAGGAGCAAAGGACACAAGACTAAACTACATCTGGATGACAAGAAGGGTACCTGGGGGTACACTTAGATGGGTACGTGTAGGTAGCTGGCACCTGTAAGAACTTGTCACACGTAGATACTCTACTGTTCTTGTACTGAGTGCTGTGAGGGAAGGGAGAAGTTTGTACCACGTGCAAGTGCACTACTGACTTTGTCTTGTTGCCTCGTTTGTGTTTACTAACACTGGCTGCACTTAGGTCTTGTGTTCCTTTTAATTAGCCAGTTCAATGCTGAAAATACAAAGAAAATACATAGTGTTTGGTGTCAGTAAGCTTTAAACTCAAAGCAGCTAATAGCAAGGCAGACGGACTTAATTTATTTGGTTTTAACTTCCAATAGAAATTTATATTTGTTTGAAATATTAGCTTATGTGAGAAGTCACTTTTTAATGTACTCTTTCAAAATCTGCAGTTACTTTTGTTTAAATCAAGTGTGAGGGTTGATAGGTTGTTCGTTTTTTCCCTAGAAATGGCTTGAATATAGGTCAGATGTACTGTCCCTTCCCCTCTTCCCTAAGTCTCTTTAGATTGAAACTGAACATAAGACCTTTAACCTGAAATGAAAACTTAACTGGAGGTTTGCTTACAGTAAAGAAACAGATCTATAACAGAATGGAATAATCTTTTGTGGAGTTCTTATTTGTATCAGTATTGTAAAGTTGTAGACTATATATTTAAAATACAGGTTACTAGAACAAAACAAACGTGACTACGTTAGTGCAGTCAGAAAAACAAGTGACTCTGATTCTCAGTCAGTTCATGTTTCTGTTTCCAAACACAGATCCTTGAAGACCTAGATGAGCAGATGTATATCATCACTTTAGAGGAAGAAGCAATTCAGAGGAGGCTTAATGGTATGCTTGTTCTGATACTGCTTCAGATGCAGTATTTGTAGTAGAGTGGTTCTGGTCACGAGTATTGATCTCACCGTTACATAGCCTCTTCTCTCAAAATAGAACATTTCAACATCCTAGTATGTAACGAGCATTATAGGCTTACATTTCATTGCTCACTGTGGTGTTCAAGATTGGCTTGTGTGTGTGCTTTTCTTTGGTTTGGTTTTTAACACGTTCATCAGCTCTAATATATGAATAATCTGAGACTGAGAAAGCAAGTTGAGTAGTTGACCAGACCCACCGCCCTTACTGCGAAATAGCTTGGATTGGTAAATGACTGTATTCTAGCCCTGTCTGAAGAATGATGAACTTGTATCAGCGAGAGGCTCAACTTCCTGCATTCTGAGTTTTGTTTTTTATTTGGAGGATTTTTGCTGTTTCAGTGCATTATTATTTAGAATCTGAGGTAATAATTCATTAAAGATCAGAGCAGTCCTTTATATTCTAGGAGCTACAAGGTGAATTTAATAATTTGAATAATTCTATGAATGAATAATTAGAATTAATACTTACACAAATGTTTTAGGCTTCTTGTATTTAGTATTACAATTTTGCACCTCTTGATAAGGTGTTTCTGTTTTGAAGTATTTCAAAAGCAATATGAAGCTTTGGCTTCTAAGAGTAAGGATATTGCAACATGGCAAGCACCAGTTATGGAAAATATATCAATTCCATAAATCTGGAAATTGTGTTGCGTAAGTTCTCTTCTGAATTGCTTTTGGCTGCATAGATAAGCTATCCATCCACAATTTATACGATTGCTTCAGGTTGGAAAACCAAAGAATATTCATGTCATGACACATCCATTGTTGTGTCTTATTTTTTTTTTAATTGTTATGACTTATTTTAGCCTTCATTTTCCTCATTTCCTGCCTTTCTCTCTTACTTTTCAGTCTTCTGTCATATATATCAATCTTTTCTTCTTACAAGTCTCATTAAGTCTCCTTTCAAAGTTGCATGGTGAGGGAAGGTACCTTTGATAACCGTGGATCCTGGTGATCATCTTTATTCCAGCTTTTAAAACTTGTGGAGGTGTAGTGGCTTCTTTATGCTAAAGTCAGCCATGGTTTCAGCTTAAAAATAATGTTCACCTTTGCAGTTTTAGAAGTGAAGGTTTTTATACTGACACGCGTATATATACGCATACACATACAGACATGCATGCAGTGAATGTCTTTGAAGTTGTGATGGGGTAATTATAATTGTTCTGGGTGTTTGATGTTAGCTAGCAACTGTAAAATATTTGTTACCGAATATTTTATGTTGTCATGGTGATTGTGCTTATGTACAAGAAAAGCGATACAGAAAAATGACCCAATAGTTAATTCAAGTACCTAACAGAAGCGGTGCAGAGTGTTTTCCACTATTCAGGTGGAGAATGTGATTATTTAGGCGATGATTGTTTGCTGGTTTTCTGCACAGAAGTCTATGCAACAGTTGTTTATATTGCAATTTAGTAATATCACTAATGAGGTGTAGCTAGCCTGTTTGTAGGCATTTGCTAATTGGATCTGGATTTAGGACGTGTGCAGGTGGCTGCCCTGACCACCAGCCGAAAGACTGGGTTCTCTTTCAGCGAATCTGTTAGTATCCAACGTAAGGTGGAACTGCAGCCCACCCCTGTTCCACAGAGCTCTCACCAGCCTGCTCTTGAGAGGTGAAAGATGTGGGGCTTAAATGTCCTTTGACAGGAAAGGGAACCAAATTCTTCTGTCTCACGTGCTGAGGGAATGGCATAGACCCCACCATCTGAAGGAATGCTTGAAAACCCAGTTTGGTGTACAGAGAAAATTAATGGGCTTAAGCGGAAAAGTAAATAAAAACCTAAATTTGGATAGTGCGTGTAGGTGGAGGGCAATATGTGATATGCACAAGAAGATACTCTGCAAGATTTCTGTGAGTAATTATTTAAGTAATATTAAGTATGGTTCTCATTTGTGTGGCAGGCATGGAAAGCTTCAGCTTCTCTGCCAGAAGTCTTTCTAATACATACAAATTATGCCAGAAAAATAGGTACCATTTTTGCCAGAACTATGAAGACTTGTGCTTATTATGTTTATTGCATTTTTAGAAAATGCGTACAAATGGAGGCGTGGTGCTAATTACATCAGTAAATGTAGTGCTGTGATGTTAGAGGCTATAATCTGACTTAACATGTGGATCATGGGTTTTTTTGTTGCTGTTTCGGAACAGATATATTAGGCTACATGCTTCCCGTGCCATGGCTCTTGCAACTCTTCCACAGTTGTTGTAGTGGAAATATATGTGCTTAAGTAACCCTTCTGGACAGCTTTGCAGTGAAGTGTTCTGAAATATATACTCCATTTATATTTATAACCAAAGAGCTGAATTTTTATTAAAACTGAAGAGGACCAGAGCACCAGCTTAAGCAATACTTGGTGGTTGTCAATGCTGATTTTTCTTTTTTCTTGGTGGACTAGTTGCTGTCACACTCCTAGCACTGTGTTGCCCTGTCCTAATTAATGTTTCCTCCGACGATGCCTGGACGTAGGAAGGAAGGGTGTAGCATGAATCACTCTTCCTACTGAAGAGGCTGCGTAAAGCCTCTGTTTTCAGAGGAGGAAAAAAGCTTAGCTGTGAGAGCTGGTGCCCTTCTTGATTCATATAGTTGTAACTGTTGTGGTGGTGATGCAATTGATTGTTCTTTGTATTTGAAAATAACCCTAACTGTGAAACTGCATATCTTCTTTGCGGAAACTAATTTTCTTCCTTCTCAGATGTCTACAGTGTATAACTGAAAATCGGAGGAGGAGGGAGGGGAAAGCTTGATTGTGTTATCTACCCTAGTATTCTTATCTATTGAAGAGATACTGGGCTTTGGGAAAATGTTTGTTTCCAGTGTATTATATTTCAGTACCCACATCACTCCTACAGTCGAAGAATAAAGCAGGGACTTTTTTATATTAAAAGAAAAAAGTTGCCTTCAGCTATTAGTTTTCCTGAATCCAAAGAGACGGGTGGGGTAGGATCAAAAATACTTACTTGATCAAAGTTATTGGCTCTGAAGGTATCCTTACATAGGTAAGAAAGATGAAAGGTGTTGTTTTTATTGCACGCTAGTAACAGTGTAATTTTGAACTAATTGGTGTTGAACTGCCAATCACCTAGGGGGAATGCAAATAGATACTCTTACAATTTCCTTTGAGGTACTGAAATCTTATGTCGGGGCTGGAAGAAAAACAGAATAATACCGTTAAATTGACCTTAAATGAGCTGCTTTGTGGCTTTCTTGGAGAATCCCTTCTAACTTTTCATTGCTAGTCCAAACAAGTCTTGTCTACCAATTTGATTTATTGGCTAGACAGCGCTGACATTGAACTTTGTGCGTGTTTGAAATAAAGCTAATGTTATAGAGCTTTTAAGAATTTAGCTGCATCCTTTTCAAATACTCTTTTGACTGATCTGAAACTTTGCCTTCCCCTCTCATAAAATATCCTTTTGTATAGCAACCTGTTGTTTGCTACTATTTTTAAGGAGGAACTACAACAGCACTTAGATATGATTCAGAATTTCTAATGAAGTGTCTCCTAGGGACCTAATGTGATCACGCTGACTTGGTTGGAAAGACTCCCATGAACATTGGTGTTTTGAGCTCTGGATTTTTATATTGAGGGGAGGAAACAATATATATATTGAATAAAGCTTTTCCTCAGAGACCCCTAAATCAATTATGGAGAAGAAGAAAATGTCAGAAGCTAACTTGAGTTTTCTTATTTTTTTTCAACTGCTTCCATTAAAGTTCCTGAGACTTTTTTTCCGCTGAGCTGTATAGCTATCCTTTTTCTCAACTCACAGTAATTAGTCATTCCATAAAACAGATGTTTTAGACTTTTTTTCAGAGGGAATGCATCAGCACAAAAGCTTATTTTTATAATGATAATGAGATTTTTTTTTAAAAAAACTTTTTCTAAACCCCCCCGTATTATGATTACTTATTTAAAAAGCACTGAGAAATTAAACTGACATTCATATTGCAGGTACTTCAAGTGAACAGAAGTTACTACAAAAGATCAGTTGTTGGTCTTACTGGTTAGTCCTGGGATTTGAGATACTTACATACTTGCAGCCACTCTAAATGTTACCACATACACGTTATATCACTGATATCAAAGATAAGTGTTTAGGCATAGCACAGAGGTTATGTGTTAGATGCAACAAATTTTTCATACTTGTGTTTGTGTGTGAAAGAAGCAGGTAATTAAACATTTACAAATTAATTTTTGAAACAGTTGGATGCTTCATTGATAATTTGACTGCATTGAACAAATCAGTGTTAATTCTCTGAAACAAAAAGAGTAAAAATTAAAAAAAAGTCCAAGAAATACTCTTCTATATCTTGGTTTTCAGGTAGGACCTCACTGTGCTGGAATATGGAGAATGTAGGGGCTGGGTGGGATGAAAAATTTACCTTCTTATCCTGCACTGAGATTGCTGGATGGATGAGCAGACAACAGAAAATAAGGAAATAATGAGACTGGACTATAAAGTGGTGTTAGTGTGCCAGCAACCTAAGTGCTATTTAGTTTTTGTAGGCAAATGATTGAGATATGAGATGAAAGCCTGGACAAGACTATTAATCTCCTAGAAATTTATTAGAGTGTTTAAAAGAAGTATCTGGAACATGGTGCTATTACAGTTTGGCCCATGATCAAAGGTGAGGCTGAGGGTAGGGAATGGCCAACAGGTGAAGGGTGGCAGTGTAAACTGAGAAAGAAGATAATGGAGGGGACTTAGCGTTTATTAAGACCTTGAACTGTCACTGCCACAGAGTGTTTTCACAGGCTGAGATTGGCAATATTGGATTGGAAAATATGAGCCCTCTTAACTTCTTTTCAGGTGAGATTATTCAGAAATAAAAGGGATGAAAGTGGGGCAAAGATGAGCAGAGAGCATTTCTAACTAATCCAGAGAAGAATATTTCCAGTTTGTGGTTGCAAAGAGTAAAAGTTAAAGTAGAAATAATGAGATCAGAACTGAAACAGCAGATCTGTAGTCAGCATCTCAGAGCAGTATCATTGCCTGAACACTGCGCAGTGTTTGTAGAGGAACTGGAATCAAGGGGAGAAGCCACAGTTTGCTGGCAGTAGAAAAGGTGGGGGGTTGGAACAGAGTTGGGAGGCTGAAGAGAAAAAGGGTGGAGAGGGGAAATGGGCTGGGTTTCCTAGAGCCCATGTAGGGATAGGAGGAAATGTTGCTGAGCAACTTCTAGGCAGAAAATTAGTAAGGGAGAGAGGAATTAATATTACGGTTGTCAGTTTTCAGCTGACAGAGGAGAGAGTTTGAGGAGTTGCACAACAGTGACATGCATATGCTGTAAACTGTACAAAGGAAAGTGAAAGCATGTGGTCTCATGGGTGGTCATGAGGAAGATCTGATCGTGGTTGTCTGAGGGACCTCTGTGGCACAGAGAGACTGACCAAAGCGAGTGAAAAGGACTGGGGAAAAGGGAGGAGACGCAAGAAGCTGAAAGCGGAGGCCCAGCCACCAGCTTGCTTAGTTTTGAGGTTAAGGTCCACTTAGCCTTTAAGTTGCTAAATAATGATGCCCTTCAAGGGCATCCAGACAATCTCTGTCTTGATGTACAAAGCATATAGAGATACAAGAATGAGGCATTTGAGACACCCTGTGTCAGGCTGTTGCACCATAACTGGTTTTTTGGACCTGTTCAGCAGTAGCCATTCTCTTCGTTCTTGCAACAGCTGGTCAACAGAATAGGCAGGGATCACAGAAGGTCACGCTGTGAAACCTCTGATGTGTCGAACTCTTCTGGTTAGACAGAATTTGGAGGGTTCTTGACTAAGCCTCTGTTTGTTTGAAAAGAAGTTGAAGAGTCTCAAAGAAACACCTGCAGTTTAAAGCCACAAGTGTTAATGTGATGCTTCCTAAATCTGAATTACCGCAGTGTGTCTTACAGTACTGAGTTAGTCTCATCCATAAGAAAATACTGTCTTTTGTTTTAAAAGGTGTATCTTCCACGGTGGAATACCAGACAGCAGAGTTGGAACGGGAGCTTGAAAAAGTGAAAAGCAAGAAAATGAATCTAGGTAATAAACTTTTTTCTACTATTTCATGTGGAGTGCAGCTTAATAAACGACCTTAAGATGCTGTGTTTAGCTTGTAGCAGTCACTTGATTCATTCCAGCTTGTTCTTAACCAAATGTGTGCATTTGCAGTCCTTTCAAATTGTCTTAGTTTCTGCAGATACATTACATGGAATCATTGCGCCCCTCTAACAAACAAATTTAAGTAGGGAGTCTGATTTGGATCTTATTTTTAACATAATTTTAGAGAAAGTGTAACACTCTTGACTTACTTGCATGGAGCTCAATAGCATGGTCTTGTCATATGTAATGATATGCTTATGATTATTTGGGATAATCTAAGATACTACTTCCCTCTCTGTTTTTGAATTATTTCTATAAAAGTCAAATTACGTTTAAGAACAGTAAAATAATCCTTAGCAATTTTGTGTCTTTTAAAATTGAGAAGTGATACTTCTGGTAATGGCAGCCACTCAACAGGAATCTCCTTACTTATTCAAAGGCTTGCAGAATTTTGCATTTATCAGTGCATTATATGCAAAACTAAGACTGTGATGAGAAAAAGTTGTTGGGTTTTCTTTTTAGACATACTAGTGATGTCCAGTGAGTTAGTCTTGTCTTTCTTGCCTTATAAGAGGAAAATACTGTTTAAATATTTGATATTCCTTTCTGTCCCTTTAGGTTGTACTAAAATATACACGTAAACAGCATATTTTTAAATTCAGTATGTTTTAAACTTTGCAGAACTGCTGTATGCCAGGGGGGAAAAAGGTACGGTGAAACATGCCTGTAAACAAGAAAGAAAAATCTGCTTCTCTCTGTCTCCCCAGCCTTTCTCTAAAGAGGTTTCAAGTTTTTGGCATTGCTTTGGCAGCTCTTCAGGGTAGATATTTTTATGAACTGGTTGGTGTTGGTTCAAGATAAGAGTTACTTTTGTTACCTATAGTTATAACAAGAGCTTATAGATAGTTGAATGATTTTTACTTATTTTATTCTAAGGCAATCTATGGTATTAAATTTCTTGTTGTTCTATTCTGAACAGAACGGCGGAAAAAAGCTTCTGCTTGGGAAAGGAATTTAGTCTATCCAGCTGTTATGATATTGCTACTGATCGAAACGGTAAGAATTCTTGCTCTTTCTTTTTTTCTTTTTCCCTAACAAAAAGTATAAAGAATTCTTTGATCATTTGGGGGAATAAATGTATTCATTTTTAAAAATGTGGAATACTTTTAAATAACAAGACTGTTTCTATTTCCTTATAGTCCATCTCAGTCTTCTTAGTTGCTCTCAACATTCTGTACCTGTTGGTTGATGAGACTGCAATGCCAAAGGGATCAGGGGTAAAGTAAACTTCTCTTATGGTTTTTATAACTTGAGTAAAGCTTTGGAGCCCTTACAAAAGTGCAAGCAAGAACTTTGGCTTTAGTAACACTGAAACTAATGAGCCTCAACCGTGACTTTGCTTCTAGGTTTTGGTCCTGTTCACACATAAGCATTTATTACATGTCATGTTATAGTGAGTTCTTAATAAAACTAGTCCAGAATCTTCTGTGGAGATACGTTGATTCAGTAAAGTGAATCAGTAATCTGAAGTTTACTCATGTCTCCTACTTTATATGGACTAGAAATGTTCAATGTAAGAAACTCTGTTAAAAACAAGTATAAAAAGCCTGTCTTGGTTTGTGTTCCTCTTAGAAAATGTGACATTTTTTCCTCCTTTATTATAAAAATGCTTTGAGAAAGTAAAGAGCAGCACATTGAGCAGTAGTGTCTTTAATCATGAGGGGCTTTTTAATTAACTTGGTAAAGCTTTCCCCTGCGTATAGCTGTCTATGAGCGTGCAGAGCTATAAAAGGCGTTTAGTGGTGATAGCCGCTCTGCCTGTGGTATTGAGAGCAACTAAAAGTGGTGTCTTTTGAGACCTCTTACTTTCCGAAGTAATGGCATACGTATAAAACGCAGCGTGGTGGGTAGATGCAGCGTGTGTAAAATGTGAATCACTATACCTTCTGTCTTAGTAATGCGTTTCACTTGAGTTTGAAAGCTAGCAGGTGCAATTGCATAGGATGGGAGTCTTGCAGGTTAGAACATCGGGATGGCCCTTGAACACTGAATTGAGAAAAGGCTGTATTTCATGTAAGATGTTAGGTTTTTTGGTCCTGGTAGAAGTTAACTTCATGAACAGTTGTGTATATCTTATTGAGTTATGCAAAGTATTTTTCTCTTTGTAGGGGCCTGGAATAGGAAGTGCCTCCTTATCCACCTTTGGCTTTGTGGGAGCAGCACTTGAAATCATTTTGATTTTGTATCCTTTCTTTAAGAACTCCGTCTGTTAACAAGTATTCAGTCTAGTTTTCTGGGACACTGGTAATTTACTAAGCCTGGAAAGAAGAAAGAGATAGGTCAGTCCTTCTCAAGTACTCGAAGTGTTTTTGTTTTTATTTTTCTTTGGTTCTTAGGACTTTTAGGAGACTGCTGAGAACCTGAGTGAAACGTGCATTCCTTGGAGGTTCCTTTTTCCTTGATTCTCACAGCTATCTTATGGTGTCCTCTGTCGTCGGCTTCTACAGTCTTCGGTTTTTTGAAAATTTCACTCCCAGGAAGGATGACACAACTATGACAAAGGTAAGGTAAAGTCTGTGATGGGGATGGCCCCCTCGTCTCTTTCTTGCCACCCAAGACAAACTGACTCTTTGAGTTAGTAATTGCCCTGAATGGCTCATTTGCAGTGATCAGTATTTGTTTGTAAGCTTCGTAAACACAAACTGGAAGATTTTCAAAATGCTGAATGAGTGGGAAAAAGGATGTGCTCTGTTTAGTTTGGATGGCATCCATTCACTTGTAAAAAGCCGGGAATAGCAGAGCTTGTTAACCAGCTATAGAAAAGCTAGTGAAAGAACTTTTTTCAAAGGAAACGTATTGCTAATGAGTAACTTTGATTGTGCTAACTGTACTTCAGGGAGCTTGTTTGAAATCTGAAGAACTTGGTTGCTAGAAGTAAGACAAAGTAATTCAAATTTGAATAATTAAACTAAGACTGAGGAGGTCTATTCAGCAACATCTTGCAGTCTGAGGCTAATTTGACTTTCTACAATTTAGCACTGGCTTCAGAATAACAAATGCTGCTACCTAATGCAGAGGAACATGCTTTGGTTTTTGGCAAAATATTCCCACAGCTGACAAGGGGAGGTGATCGGTAACCAAGGAGCAGATGTTGAATTTAACTATTTTTTCAATGCGTTTCATTGTTTGTTTGTTTTTTTAAAAGTAATGGATAGACATTTTTACCACAAGTTGTTGGAAGTGAGAAAGTAGGTGAGCACACAAAATGGGAAAGATGGGTAGTAGGGAGTTGGAATGTTCTTAATGTTTTCTATTGATTGTTGACAGTACACCAGGAATAGTGTAGAAATAAACAGTGAATGCACAAATGCCTGCCTACTTTCAAGCAGTTTTGTGGTTTGTTTTTTTTCTTTTGGATTCTGATAGAAATAGAGCTCAAGAAAGTGATCCCTTGTGAGAGAAAGTTTCAATTACTCTTTATAAAGGCTTCACAAAAACTAGAGTAAAATCTAACAGCTGTGAATTTTTCGTACTATTTAAAGTTGTCAACAGGCATTCAGTTGAAAGGAAGCTCTTTGTTGTAATTTTTTAAATAATGCTAATCCTGCAAGCAGTTACATACAAAGCTTAAGCTGATGTATCAGTCATCTATTTTAAGCCCATGGAATGGTTCTCTTACAAAAAGTTTGCAGGAATTAAGTAAACAGTTGATGCTTTGCAACATGGTAGTTTTAAATTGTTTTGAATCTAGGCATAGGTAACACTGATTAAAAGCAAATGATTGCATACTTTATATTTTTAACTAGTCTCTTGGATCATCTTCATCTTGTGTAACACCATAAGAAGTGTGACAGAAGTAAGCAAGACTTAACGATGTGTTATTGTAAATTGCTTTAGGTTCTGTTTGAAGAATGTAACTTTTAGGAATTATTTTTCATCTTGGCCACCTTTTTTCTTTTTTCTTTTTGGCAATCCCATTTATAATTTAAATGCTGTTTGTCATTTTCAAACAGATCATTGGAAACTGTGTCTCAATCTTGGTGCTGAGCTCTGCTTTGCCAGTGATGTCAAGGACACTGGGTAAGTGAAATGGAAGTATAAAACATTGTAATAAAGGATGTTTAATTGAGTTTAAAAAAAAAAAAAAAAAAAAAAAGAACAGCCTGTAGCTGGACTTTTCATATTATGCATTTAATTTGCCATCACTTTCATTAGAAAGAGCACGTATTTGTGGCCGCCTTTTCTGCGCCCACGTAAGCTGTTGAACATATGTTCTACATACATGAACTGCAGAACATACAGTCTAAAAAAAAAAAAGACACCAAGCGTTTTCTAGAGAATACATTCATTTAAAAAGGCAGGTCAGATTTTAAACTTAAAACAGGAGATGGTGAGAAGAATAGATATGGAGACTGCTTGTTAGGGCAGTATAACATAATTTTATGTTCACTGTGGAATTACAGCACTCAGTTTTTGTGAAAAAATACATTTGGGGATTTCAGGTATAAAATCTGAGATAATGTTGAGTGCAAATGTCTTTTTAAAACCAGTTAGGGACTCTTCATTTATTAAGTTTTTTTTTTATCAGCAATAATACCGGGCCGTTTTCATTTTCCCTAAAATGATCTGCTTGCATTCCTTGTTACTTCGGTTTTCGAATATAAAATCTGGAACCCAGCATAGTGGAACTGAAGTAGTTCTGATTTTATTGTTAAGAACTGACAGTAGCATTTGAAGTGGAAAACAGATTTTTAAGCAGTTGGAAAGACAAGATGTTTTGTATCTTCACTTTGTTTAATTAAGTAATCTTCAGTGTGAAATCTTGAAGTTAGATTGCAAGGCTATTACATGTTTAAGTAGTGCAAAATACTCGCAGCTAATGTGAATTTCATTGGGAACATTAAACAGAACAAACCGAAATCTTCACCTCAGGCTGTAAAAGCCTTAAGTACAAGTTTAGGAGTTTAAGCTCAGGCCCACAGACGAGTAATGTGTACCCAACAGTTCTGTAGCTGATCTTCTTTTCAGTCAGAATACTGTCAAATCAAAAGTAGTTAATGTTTCCTGGTACACTATACTGTGTGTTTTCATGCTGTGTATATCTACAGATGACAAGTTTTGTTAGGTTTACTAGGTCATTTCTATAACACACAAAAAAACCCTGTAATGCATTTTGGAGAGGTGAATCTTAAAATACACACCCTAGAGCTCATGTTTTAAAAATCTGTAGTAAAAATTCACAAAAATGCAAAAGAATAATTCAAGCATTTACAGTAGAACAGTTTTAAAATAGAGCCAGTAAGATAAAGATCTAAGTAAAATGGTTCTAGCACTTAGAGCAAGATGTTATTTTGAAAAGTTAGTGTTAGAATAGAATTTTAACGTTCTCATAGTGTCCCCTAAGTTACTGCGTTCATCGCTTGTTTAAAAAAAAATAAAAATCATTGTTAATGATCTATGAGATTAACAGTTGATAATAAACAGATTCTGTGGAAGTAAGTATACATGCTGGGTGCATTGTTGTCTCATAGGAAACAGATTAATGGTAAAACTCGCTTAAAAAAAGACTAACAAATGAAATTCCTGAATAGTTTGCCATAGAGATAAATAAAAGAAGAAAAAAGATGGAACAATTAACACACAGCTAACAAATGCACAGTCACAGCTGTCCAAACAGGATTAATAGAGTGTATTAGAGTACAGTGAGTCATGTGGTGCTTTGCAAAAATATCAACATGTGCTGCGCTACATGCTACCGCCCTGTGGCACTGAATAGATGAAAAGAAATAAATGTTAAGCAGATTCATAGTCCTTTCACTTTATTAAAAGAGCGAGTTTCTAGGCTATACAGAAGAGCCTAGGCTTTATCATTATGGGAAAGGTAAAAAAGCAGAAGTTATTGAATACATGTACTGACCTTTTTCAAATTTTGAAAATGGAAATATGAGATTTTTTTGTGTTTCGTAGCATTCTAATTGAACGTGTAGGTTGTGGATGTCTCTAATCTGTCATTCTTTCAGAGCTCCAGGGAAGTTTTTACTAAAACAAGTTACTTTACTAAAACAAGTTAACTCATTTTTTTCCAGAACTTTTCACCCTTTTAGTAGTCCTTCTTGAAAAAAGTTTCCTGCCAGCACCATATTGCTAACCACTGTGAAACAGATGGGGAAGAGAGCAGAGCACTTCATAGCCAGGAATACAGAAACAAGGAATTGCGAACAAAATTGAATTTTCTAATATACAAAAGTATTCCTAGAATTCTTCTCTTGATTATCATGGTTAAGTTAATAGTGATTTAAAACTTATTTGTATGTACAGTCTAAAACCATAGTATTTCTATTTTTTAATACTGAACAGTTTGTTAATATTTTATTTAGTAAATTGTCACCAACTTCATCGGATGTGTATTTGTGTCCACTGGAGATGTTGTGCTCTGTTCAGTTACTGAGTAGTCTTTCAAATTGCAGTCTTGGGATTTTTTTTTTTTTGTGGGGGCTGACCAGATACTTCTGTAAGAAAGTCAGCAAAAGCATTTTAATCCTTTTCTCCCAGAAACTTACAAAATGATATGGTGTCAGATTTTTTTTTCCTTATGAGCAGTGACTTTTTTTACTTGCACAAGGAAAGTGAATGTAACCTGTGGATGATAATTTTTTTTTCCCACCTGCTCTACCAGAAGTGTCAGGCTTCGTTTTCACTTGTCCTCATAGTGCCTGCTCCATTGCTAGCTATAGCTATTCTTCTGAATTCCTTTGTCAGGGAGTATTTTTGCTTTTCCAAAGAACTCTTTACTCAGTGCTCTACCTGTCCTGTTTCTTTTCCTTTAAAGGTCTGGAAGCCTATACATTCAAACGTGACTTTCTCAATTTTCTTGTAGCTCTGTGGTCTGACTAAAACACTTTCTGCTTCTTCAAAAATATTCTTAAGGACACTGTCTGTTGGGCTTTGAGTGTGAAACTTTGTGTTTGTTGTCCTTCAGCTGTTTCCCAGTTGATTCAGTCAGCCAGTTTCTTCTTCTGCTAAGACCTTCCCTGCTTTTCTGATATTCCCCCCGTCTCTCTTGCTATGTTGATCAGCCTCAGGTTTTTTTGCCTTTATCCTTTGCAAATTCTCCTTTTCATTTTCTTCATTTTGCCATGTTTTTTCGTAGATACTAAATCTGATTCCTCTATTTTTTTTTTTTAATTGACTGATGCAGAGGACAAGAAGCATGTGTACCTTTTAACATTGTGATAGCTGGCTGTAAGTCTCGGGTATCAAAGTACAATGAGGTTTAAGTGCCAGGTTTACCCTGGAAAGGAAGGTAACGAATCCTTAATTCTGTCTCTCTTCATTTATTATCACTGTTGAAGTTACAGTTCTTAAAAGCCCCAAAACTCTTTCAAAATGAGACGATGGAAAGCTCACTGCCAGGAACTTCAGAGCCAGGGTTATTTTCTGATTGCCTACTTTTCTGCTGCCATTTTGGTTCTGGGGAGGGGTAATCTTCCTTTCTTTGCACCCTTGGTCTCAACTGTGAGAGTGCGCATCACTCTGACACCATCATCTGTGCCAAAAGTGTTTTGGGAATGTAATGGCGCATCAACCCGAGGCAATAACATCTCGATATTCTACCCTTTATTCAGTGCAGTCCTTGATGTAGACCTGGCAAAGGAACAACCTGTGGTTCTTCCTCTTCTGCCTTCTGGGATGGACCCTATAGCTTGTAGACACTTCCATGTTTTGGAAGAATTTTGCTCACTTAGCTTTAGTGATTGACTCGCCTTTGGTCAGCACCAAGCCCAAGCGTCAGTGGTGTGAGGTCCACTGGGAAGAAGACCTGTCAGCACCGTCTTTCAGCCAAACTCTCCTTCTGGGCAAATGCTCTGTGGCTATAGTGGTGGGTAGATCTAGGAGGGAAAACTGTGACTGGGAACATGTCTTTAAACTTTGGTTTCAAAAGCAGTGGTTCTGAAAGAACACTTCAAAGGCTTAGTGTTTACTGTAAGACGTTGTGGCTCTCGTGGAAAGGCTTTTTGCTACCTGTATTTTTTTAATAAGAAAGCCCACAGTGCATTTCATCCTTTTCTGGAATAGATAAGGATTTTGTAGAAACTGAGATTTCAAGCAGTTTTCATACTGATTTTTTTCCTAGTTATATTCATTGAAATAAAAATAGAATTATTATCTAAAATAGACAATTTACTTCAACTCACATTATTCAAGCGTTTTATGAGGAAACTTAGGAAACATTTTGATTGATAAATATGTCTTACAGTTTTACAGTGGTTATTGAAGGGGAAAATGACCTTGAGAACATTGTGTTGTGTGTCTAACCGTGTGTCTTACAGCGTGTTGCCTGAAAGAATTTCACTTCTATATGTAAAAAGTAATAAAATTAAATTTTTGTATTTCCTAAAAAATGTAATCAAGATTTTAATGTCAATCTTAAATGCAATTTTAACAGGAATCACCAGATTTGATCTGCTTGGAGACTTTGGAAGGTTTAACTGGCTGGGAAACTTCTATATTGTATTATCTTACAACTTGCTCTTTGCTATCATGACAACGTTATGTCTGGTCAGAAAGTTCACTTCCGCTGTGCGAGAAGAGCTCCTGAAGGCATTAGGTAATACAGCACTGAAAATTTGGGCTGTACTTGCATGTTTCCTTTCTCCAGCATCGATACCTTGATGTGCTACTGTGAAAGTTCTGTTACAACTCACAGAAAACTTTTATTTTGGTGGAAGTTTCTGTAAGTTAAGGTGAGAATGCATAGCTTTGTGTTACTTTCTGAAGAATTGAGAGCTAAGGTACGTTGTTGATCTTAATAAGCCCATGTACTTACTGATCTGCAGTTAGGTTTTCAGCCTTTAGAGAGCGCAGAAACATTCTCATTGCTACTGAGCAATTATTCCAAAATAAAACTTCAGCTTGTGTGGGGGTTGGCTTTTTTCTTTTTTGTTTAAAGCAACTTATTAACTCCCTAAAACTAGTTTAGTGGAAGTCTTAGCTGCTTTCTTGTGATGCTTTTTTTTTGAGCACAACTTGTTCAGAAAATCTTTCTACAGAATGTACAGGATCTTAGTAACAGGTTGACTGTACTCGATACAATGAGAATCTGGATCAAATTGGGCATTTGTGTTTCTCGGCCATGGAAGAAAGTCTTGAAACATATTTGATACTAAGAGGATAGAATGTACGTACCTAATGCTTGTGTGGTCACTACATCTTATCTGCACTAATTAATGAAGCTCCTACCTGTTTAGAACCTTAGAATAGTATTTGCTTAAATTGAGAGGACTAATCATGAAACTTCACTGTGTGTTTATAACTGCGGATTCAGTCTGTAGTGTACTAAAAGGTACTTCTCTTCACTGATTACTGCTTGCCAGAGCTGTGACCCCTGTAAACAAAATCCAAGTACTTTCTAGAGTGCACCTCTACTGGTGGCAATTAAGCTAAAATCAGAAGTACTAAATTGGGCCATACAAAGTGACTGGTAGTGTAGGATTAAAACAAGCAATTCTGTGATTTCTTTGATGCTGAGCTTTGGAGCTCCAGAGGAACAGATTAGTGTGTAAATCTGTCCTCTGAAAATATTTTCAGCGCAAAAATCAGTGAAGTTCCACTGTTGATTGGGATGGATGCACGATGTGACTATGATATATTTGACATTATCCCCCAGCTTTTAGTTAACGTCATTTTATGAGGAGGCCTCGATTCATCTCTTTCAGTTGACTTGCATAATGCTTTTTTTTTTTTTTTTTTGCACAACTGTTTTGACTGTAAAGGGGTTACTTTGTATAATGTAATGGCTGTTGCAGAACTCTGAAGGAAATAAATTAACATCAGTCATCATGGGCTTATAGCAACAGGTCTGGTAAAACTTCAAGGTTTCTGTCTTGAAGCAAATGATGTAGAAGATTTGTCTTGATAATTCATGGCACTTTACTGTATTAAACATGTAGTGTTTAATAAATGATGTATGTTGAAAGCAGATGAACAAACCAAAATGCAGGTGTAGCAGGATATAACGGTCATTGGATGGCATCATTCTAAAGGATTTTTTTAGGGATTTTTTTTGGCCTTTACACATTGTGTGATTTTGTGTAAATATTGTGATCAAAATGGAGAAGGAAAGTAATTGGTAGAAGGTTTGTATTTGATACAAGCAGGAAGTTGTAAATCCTGAAGAGTGCAGGCTCCTGACACAAACTGGGTTTGCTTTCCACGCTATGTGTAACAACCAGTGCCGGTTAAAAACAGTCACATGGAATTCAAAGAATGAGAACCAAAATTCGTGTCTTCATTTCTCCCCATCCTGAAAACACTGACACTGAGGACTAGAGGTTGGTGGAGCGTCGTAGGTAATTAGTGGAAGGAAAATGCCTGCTGCAGGCCTGTGATGAGAAGAATTCATGTCGTATTGGGACTTACAAATAATACAGTATTGAATAGATGTTTGGTTTTTAGTAGTACAGTCAATTTTGGAATTCCAGTGATGCAAAAAATTTAACTTGGTACATCATGACACTTCAGTAGAATTATCAATTTAGTCTACACTAAATGAATAAGAAGCTCTTTCCATTTTTGATCCTTTAGAGACTTGACAGGAGACTTCAGAGGGGGAGTGTGGCAAGCAAGGAAGGACTGTCATCATGCCTCTTGTGAATAAAACATGGTCAAATTTACCATCTTTCCCCACCTCCCCCCAAAAAAGAGTAGTTTAACTACTGGGACAGGATGGGAGACTTTAATTAGCACTCATAGTAGAGAACTGCGCAGTAAGAACAAATGGCTGGAAATGCAGATAAACAAATCAGAAATAATGCAGGCCTAAAAATATTATTACACACATAAACAGTGGTCATCACCGATGATCTCAAGATCAGCAATGGGTGCTTTTCAGAAAGATGCTATAGTTTAGAGGAAATATTTTAGGTAATTATTTTTGTCTTCAAAGCCTGTGATTTAAGCAATGTGAAGTTGGTCTTCTCTTGCTTCCACACTTGTCCGTTGGAATGGACTTTTCTCACTTAAAACACAACTGAGGGAATTTCCCAGAAATAACTCTCACCTGAGCTAGAACGTCAATTCTGGTCTTCAGCAAATGTGAAGTCCTTAATCACAAAGTAGAATTTGAAGTAGAATTTGGTTTGCTTGTGTTCTTTTGAATAGTTGTATGCATGAAACGTGGGAGAATCTCAGTTTTTCCTTATTGTGTAATGTTTTGCAGGATTAGATAAACTTCATCTGTCAAACAATCCAAGAGACTCTGAGACGAAGCCGTCTGCAAACGGGCATCAGAAAACACTGTGATTAACAATCACCTGCGATCAACAGAGCTGAAAACATCAACCTTATGGCATTCCTGCCATCTCATCAGCATTTTTATATTGATTTTTTTTGTTGATAATTTGGGTCCAACCTTGTCTCATGTTTTGATGGAGTGTGCTTCTGAGGAAGTTAGGTATATCAGATTCTTCTCTTTCCAGTGAACTTTTGGTCTGCTTGTTTCTTTTCCAGTAAGTTAATGCAGGAGGTGACTTGAAGACTGGAAGCTAAAGAGAATAATGCATTCCTTTTTATTTGTTGACAGTCTCATATCTGTAGGTACAAACCTGCGACCATTTGAATGCACAGTACCTCCTGTGTTATACAGACACAGCTATAAAGAATAACTTTGGGACTTGGTTAAAAAACAAAAAAGAAGGAAAAAAGATACACTTGAAGCCCTGTGTGACCCTTACTGGAAACATAAGCTACCTGGAGTAGGTATCCTTGACAGTAGATTAACAGTTCCACTAAGACGTGTTAAAAATGAGAAGTAACTGGTAGACATCACAGCTCCTTTTGTGCTGGATACAGTAGGCTGGGCGTAGTCTAACGTCACGAAGCGTTCTTGGAAGGCCAGTGTTTTCAGCATTCTGTTCTTGGCGATAGATGCCAGTTGCTTTGCTGGTAGTCAGACAATGTATTACCAAAAAGAGTGAAGTACAAGATGAAGATTAACTTCAGTGTTAAATCTGAGCCTAGTATGCTTTGTAAAAAGCTGTGTAGACCCCCTGTCGCAGCTCTTACAGTTCTGTAAGCTATTGTGCCATGGAGGTCACTTACCCTACCAAGTACATCCCTGTAAAATTCTTTATGAACTACTGTGTATAAGCAGTACTTGTAATCAATGCAAGTAGCACAGGCCTAGGAGGCTGCAATTGCAGTTTTTTACAATCTTTAATTTGAAGTAAATTATTTCTCCGAATTTATACTATAGTTACCAGGATTTCTGTTCAGTGGCATAATCCAGTGTCTTTCACTAGCCTGTTTTTTAATGTACACATGAACATGTATATAGGCCTATATGTGTAGATATCGTAAATTAAATTCTAAGCTTATAGAGATGGCATAGGTGGCTTGGTAAGTAAAACTCTTGTGTGTTCAATCTTGGTAGTGTGAATTTCTGCAGTGTTACAGTTTAACTGCTGAGAGGCCTTAGATTCAGGATGGCATTGGGGGTGGTAACGTCCTTTTTCTTAGCGTTACTGCAGCCTTAGGAATCCGTTAAGCAGTTTACAGTCTTTTTTTTTTAAAAAAAAAAAAAAAAAGCCCACTGACCAAAACCTAAGTAAGTATTCAAAATCTGGTTGCACTTTTGTCCTGCTCTGCCACAAGTCATCTTCAAACAGGTTGGAACGGGGGCACCTTCCGTGTGTGCCCGTGATTTAGCGAGTCAGAGAACGTTCCTGTTTGCTTCCCGTTTCTGTAAAACAAGTCTGTCTGTCTGTAGTGTGAGGTCTCGTACGTGACCAGGCGGTGACGACTAGCTCTGCAGTGTGGTTCCCAATGAGATAAACCTCATGTCTGTAGACCTTATTGCTGTGAGGGTGAATGTGAGGTTTGGTTTTTTTTTTTCCCCCCCTAGAGTGCTTCAAAAATCAAGCTCCAGTATACACAAGGACTTCTGAGGGTTTTTTGCAGCTGCCTTTTCTGACTTGAACTGGGGCATCATGTAAATATTGCTGTAGTACATATGATGCTAGAGAGTTACTTCTTTTTTTGTGTGTGATTAGTATAAATTCAAGGCTTATTAAACTGACTATTGATGTGTTGTACTGAGTCTTGGAAGACAAAGTAAAATCGCTTGATTTCACTAAGATCTACAAGCATCTTTTCTGTTGTTTGAGTTTAATGCTGACATTTTAGTGAGAAATCTTTATCCGGGTCGAAGTTCTGAAACCAAGAACAGGGAGCTGTAATTAAAAGTTGTTTTAAAATGTGTTTACATTTAAAATATTGGGAGATTTGTTATGAGGGGCGTCATTCAGGTCTTCTCAGAGCTTTTAGCCTTATGTATTAGCATTATAGTTAAAAATAACTGAAATGTATCCACTTGTCCATGCAAGTGATTGTGTGACCAAAATAGTCCTCGTGTCTTAATGGGGCTGGTGAACTGCGGTGTGTGAGGCTGGTTCGCTTTATTAAAGTATTTCTATTACAACTTTAAGATAGGTATTTAAATACACTCCGTGAAACTGAAGAAATGAATTTAAGGAGTAAATCTAGGGAGCGTGAAGCAGCATAGGTATTGCTCTTCATCCTTTTGGAGGGATGTTTGTCCTGGCATCGGTGACCCAAGAACACAGAAAAAGATGGGATTATAACGTGCATGTGGTTTCTGAAAGGGAGTCTGGCGGTTACTTAAATTGAGCAGAGACAGTTCCTGCTGCTAAGCACACAAGTTTCAGGCAAGACTTCAAAACTCTCTTTCAATACTGATGTTACAGCCTTGCCTGTTCCCGCCCCTTCCGCTGGATTCTGCGGTCAGGGAGATGATGTGGGGGTTGAGGCAACGTGGATGAGATTTTACACTGAACTATGGAGGGTGGTTAAGGTGCTGTGTGGCTTCCAAGGTGGGCGAGAAATTTAGAACTACCCTGTGTGACTACTGACAGTGTTTGTTTTAAAATCAGCTGTTTATATTTGACACTGTCCACATTAAAATACACCTTTGGCCTCAAAAATGACATGCTTATGCAAAACTTCTTTACAGATACAATGCTACAAATGTACCAAGTGTAAGATACAGGTCACTATGTATTTTTCACAGAAGCATATGGTCACTTAAATACAAGCAACTGGTAATTCATTAATGGATATTGACGATACATTCCTAGTATTTTGACTCATGTAGAGTCAGGTGGTCTATACCTTCAAGGTATATACAGCTGATCTTAGTAACATTAACATCTGCCTCACTTCTTACGAGGCAAAAAGCACATAAATGCTTCCATCTTCAACTAGATACCACACAAGACCAAAAAATAGATGTAAACTGAGTGTTTTAAGTTAGCCATTTCGTGGCTTTATTCTGTGTTGGTAGCACAATATTAAATGCAGTGGCAGAACTGTAATTTTGTGGGATTTCTAAGCGTAAAGCACACACACATATCACTTTAAGCTAAAAAAGAATAATCTTGGTTACTGCACAAGTAACAGTTTTTGCATTCATAGGAAGCTTTGTTTACTGTCTGTAATGTGATGTTTATCTTTGGCCCTGTTCCTCCAATACCGTTACCCTGTTGACTGTTTCAGTGTCATAGAAATTAAAGGATTTGACAAGTTGTTTTCCTTGTCTGGTTCCAAAGTACCACCTGGAGTACGGCGGCAGAGGCTCCACAGGCAGGAGCTCGTGCAGCCCGTGTGCTTCACGGGATGAAGACGTGAGCGGGTGCCGGGGGTGACGCTGCCTGCAGCACTCGGCGGGGTGAGGGGGGCTGCAGCCCTCCTCTGCCCCACCAGGTCTCTCCTGCTTGCCTGTTGGTCTCTGCAGCAGCTGATGCTGCTTCAGGGGCTCACCTGTGCCCACTGCTGTGTAGTAAAGATGAGATGGCCCTTATCTTAAAGAATTTACAATCTAAATTAGAAAGGAGTAAGGTAGAAACAAAGAGCAACTGGCTTCTTCGTGCGTGTGACTTCCCTTGAATTTTATAAGAATGTTTTAGGTTATTTTCCTTTCTTTTCCTCCTCTTCCAGAAGCGGGGCGGGCTCAGGTGGTGTACGTACAGCAGCCAAGCCTTGCGCTTGCTGGACTGGCGTCTACAATTTGGAAATACCAAATACAGGAAGACAGCTAAATCCTGTTGTTTTATGTATACTCTGATTTTTAAAATAGCTATTTTTTAAATCTAATTAAAGTAATTTAAGCAGAGGCAGTACACTAAGGCCATGTTAATAATCCCTTTAAAAAGAAATGTGCTTAGTTTTGTTTGAAAAAAAGTGTTGATGTGAACTGTGAACCTTTAAATGCTTTAAGGAAATAAGATTCCCTACCCCTAGTGTTAGTATTTTTGTTGGTTTAGCGCTGACTTGAGACAATGTTGCATATGCTGACTTCCTTCCCCAGCCCATGGATTTCAGTAGCTGACATCGTGAGCTCCTGAATATTGAATTTACTATTGGTAAACTGGCAAGTTATTTCAGTCGCATTAACAGCATTTGAACTTTACAAAAATGCTGCTTTTGAATTCATCCCATTTGGGGAGATCGATCTAAGCCAACAGCCGTCACCCAGATGGGGATAACTCTGCCACCTTGTTCTGCCTTGCCCCGTGCCCTTACCTCAGGCAAACGGTGTCCGACGCTGTTGTAAGAAGTCGTGATGCTCCTTTTCTGCTCAAGGTGTGAGGAGATGGGCCCATGGTTTGTCCATCTGCTGCATGCAGTTCCAGTGGCTGAACTGGGTTAATTTGGGGATTGCAGCACTGAGGGTTTCCAGGTGGTAGCTGTGCACATTCCTGAACTGTAGCTTTTCGCTTTCAGCTCTGTTTTGCTGGGACTAAGAAGTCGTTCAGAATTCCCTGGCTGTACATTTCTGTGCAGGCCCTTCTGGGTTTGCACGGCTTCTTGCTGTCTCAGACCGCATCCAGAGAGGATCTCCTACAAGTTTCATTTTAGCAATTAAAGCCTGACAATATTGGTCTGAATCTTAGAAAGGGGAACATATCTGGTGGGAATTAACACTAAATGTGGTTTCCACTGTGCCCAGTAGTTGGGGAGGCGTTGAGGGGTGGGAGTAGGGAATGACAGAGAGCTCACCTGTGCCAACAGTCTGCTTTCCATTCTTTTTCTAGTCAATCTTTAAAATTCCGTATTACTAAAAATCTATTTTAAATCCTTAAATTCATGAAATTCAGGGGCTGATGAAACATTTTTCTAAATCTGTCCTTAATTCTTGAAGACATCGAACATCTTGGCTTGCTTCCCTTTTTCGTGTTTTCAAGTCATTCGCTGTCTTATTCGGTGGCACTGATGTTAATCACAGGTCCTCTTCTTGATGTAGACAAAATGTGAAGTAACGGAACACGAAGAAACTACATAGATCTGATACATGATCTGTAAGATATATGCCAGCAGGAAACTTCAGTGGGAATTTTTTTGAAATGTTTCACAATTGAAGCGCCTCAAACTCTTCTTTCAAAGAGAAAGAAGAAACACCTGTATCATTAGTTTATGAAAAGTTCATTGTATGTTCTCTAAATCCACCAGTAATTCACTAGCACTGAAAAGAACTTCCTAAATTCTTAAAATCTGTTTTGCAATTCACAGTGCAACACTATCCTTAACTTTAAATTTATAGAAGCCTGTGAACTCTTGAAGATGGCTCTGTCTTGGCAACAGAAAACCTGAGGATGCTTGCAAGTTCTGTATGAATTACCATATTTTTCTAAGTAACTTTTCAGTTTAATTTATTGCACATAGATTTTTTTATATATGCATAGCATTAAATGTTTTAACAAATATAGGAGACTCCAAACAGTCAAAGGGATAGTGTCAGAAATACCCTGTAAGTGTTGATAATCCTGACATATCTAATTTCAAGCTATTTAAAAGCTGTATCTGTATGAAGGCCTCACATAAACATAGAAATTAGGAAGTCCTATTTCTTAAAGGCTGTGGGTATCTGACCATTCATTCGTACCCACGCAAACACTTTGGGGTACAGCTTCTAAATAGCTTCTAAATGTTTGTTGTGTATTTACCTCAAGTATTGCTGTTGCTCCCCCACCCCTTACATTGCGTTTTGTAGTCGGCGTCACTGGATGAAGCTCCTTTCATGAACAGTGCTTTATTTTGCATTCCTCATGTATTCAGTGCTTCCATAAATACGAGCTGTTGATGTATTGGGGCACTTGCTTTCACTTTAATGCATTTCTTTTCCCATACAGTCTATACAGAGACATCCCCTGGTTAGGCATGTTCTTCCATTACAAAAATGTTGGTATTCATTCATTTGTGCTTGATCTGTTTTTTACCACTACGTTCCATTAAAACAATCCTGATCAGAGTGGGTCCTCCAACAAATTACCAAGAGCTCATGTAAGTTCGAATTAGGAGTGAGATGAAAATGGTGTAGGCGTTGCATATGGACGTGCTCTTAACTTCCAGCAGCGTGAGGCAACCGGCCCGCTTCTCAGTGAGGGAGTAATGTGCTGGTACAGCTGACTCGAGGCCGTGCCGATGGCAGTTGCTCCGCAGTTGCTGACATTTTGCGGAGCCGCTCTTCGCTGATCTGCCTTG